TATATCTATATATCTCGTGTATATGATGGCTGTGATGCTTTTTTACAACTTTTTGCAAAGACAAGCACAGAAAAAACAAATGTCTGTTGTTGCAGGTTTGTTGAATGTAAAGACTGTGGACGAAAGATGCATCAGATCTGTGTGCTGCACTACGATGTCATTTGGCCATCAGGGTAAGTCTAGCTATGGCTCTATTGCCTTTTAAGCATATACGGTCCATGTTTGACCTTAACAGAATTAATTCAGCAGGAATTTATATTTACCAGACTTACTGTATGTTGACACTAAACTATAGTTTGATCTTTCTTCTTTTAGATTTATCTGTGACAACTGTCTGAAGAAGTCTGGCAAAACAAGAAAGGAGAACAAGTTTTCAGCCAAAAGTAAGTTACATGTTGTAGTAAAACAACAGTTAATTTAATTCAACTTGTAGAAGTCTGTGTAAAAACCTGAATTAATATTCATTTTTTGTGTTCGTAAAGGGTTGCAGTCTACGAGGTTGGGGACGTATATTGAGGACAGAGTGAATAAGTACTTGAAAAGGCAGAACCACCCAGAGGCCGGTGAGGTGTTTGTGCGAGTGGTGGCCAGCTCTGACAAAAATGTGGAGATAAAGCCTGGCATGAAGTCTAGGTAAGGTTCTCACCTGCTGATCAAAGTGTGTCTCTCTTGATGTCTGATTGCAGTTAAATATTAGAATAACTTGCTAGTAATAATTGTGTGGCTGCTTTGTTACTGCAAGCACAGCTGGAAACTCCACCACATACCACTTTAGAACATTTTTCATCTGAGGAACAAACCAGGAGAGAGATGTGCATTTGATATACATGCTAGAGTCTTCAAAATTGAATAAAGATGTCTACAATAGTGACAGAAGGAATTGAAAAACAACTTTCCACATCACAAAGCCATGCTCTCACTAAGTATTGTTTTGGGGGAATTTTTGCCTCAATTTGATAACACAGTTTAGAGGTGATGGAGAATAAGGGCAGAGAAGGGATGACAAGAAGTAAAGGTGCCAGCTGGACTCAAACCTGGGATGTTACGAATATATAATCAGCATCTAAAACTCCTAGACAATGGTTTTAAATGTGTTCAGTACTGACCTCCTCCACATGTATCTCCATTGTGTTGTGCTGACTCTCTAATGGTGGAAGAATGTAAATGCACTGCACTAAAAATTTACCTGTGGTTTGCTGTCAAAAATAATATATTGTATTGCTGAGCAATAAATCATATTTTGAACATGCGCAATAAACACAGCGTAAAAGACTACCTGAAACGCGATGAATAAGCAAAATCATTTTAGGTTCAGAAATCGGGTATTAAACAGGCCCTGAAGATAAAGAGCGGAGTATTTATTATGGTGCTGCAGCCTCTCTGTCTGCTGTGTGTTAGGGCTGAGCTCCTCCACACACACACACACACACACAGGCACGCATACACAAACAGTGAAAACAGCTGATTAGAGAGTCCACGTGGACGACAACTATAGTCCTTACTGGAAGGAAATGCAATAAAACCAGTTGTAAAAAGGAGGTACTTCATCAATGCACTGTTCAACAAGAATAAACATGTAAACCTGTTGAGAAGCCATATCCGCTCCGTTCGATTTCTCTCATCTACCTCTGCTAGGTTTTACACAAGCACTGCGATTAGCGGATTGCTACCAAAATGAAAGCTGCATGTCGTCTGTTTAGTTTATTTTGCCACGTATCTTAAAATCTGGCAAATTCTTGTTTTCAACTGAGCTGCTGGCTGAGACAAACCAGCTCCTCCCCTTTCTACCAGTGTACCGTGCAAGGAGAGACAGAGGACAGTATGATGATAACTACATTTTAGATTTGTTTCCAGTGAGATATTAAGTTTTTATCCTGACTTAAAGTTGCTGCTCTAGAAACATCTAATTTTATTTAAAATGCTGACATAGGAACTACATACCTGATGTGAACTCTTCAATATTTGTTCATATAATGCAAGTCATATCGTCATTGCAATATTGAACAGTGTCGTCGGAATTTGCAAAATAATTCCTTCTTCCATCCTCTATATTAAAAAAAAGTAAATTGTTCAAGTTTAGTTTTAAAAAGCAGTTTGTAAAATTACTGTGCTTTCCACAGGTTTGTGGACTCAGGCGAGATGGTGGAAAGCTTCCCTTACAGAACCAAAGCACTTTTTGCATTTGAAGAAATAGACGGGGTGGATGTTTGTTTCTTCGGCATGCACGTCCAGGAGTACGGCTCAGAGTGCCCCTTTCCAAATACCAGGTAAAACGACAAACAAACAAAACAAACTCCAGTATCAAGTTTTTCTCCATTTTGGTATTTTTTGTGTGTTGCCCTCTGATTAAATTATCCTTATTTACTTTGCAGACGGGTTTACATATCATACCTCGACAGTATTCACTTCTTCAAACCACGTTTGCTAAGGACTGCAGTGTACCATGAGATCTTAATAGGCTACCTGGAGTATGTGAAGAAACTGGGGTGAGTTAAAAGTAGTTTTATACAGTGTAGTGTTTTACACCCTTCCAGCGAATACTGTACATCATTCCAGCAAGTGCTAAGTGAGCTGATGAGTCTTGTCGCCCTCAGGTATGTGACAGGTCACATCTGGGCCTGCCCACCCAGTGAAGGAGATGACTACATTTTCCACTGCCACCCTGCTGACCAGAAGATCCCCAAGCCCAAGAGGCTCCAAGAGTGGTACAGAAAGATGCTGGACAAGGCTTTCGCTGAGAGGATCTTACATGATTACAAGGTCTGAAAATTATTCTGTCTCTCAAGATTTTCTGTTATAGTTAACAACTTTGCCACCAGGTAGAACTCTAAGTCTGTGTGTCAGTTCTGATGAGCTGTCAGTCAGATTCCTAAAACCCTACAGAAAAACAAAACAAAAACTGGCCAATATGGTGGACATATAAATTTAAACTACTTTACTAGACATATCGATTGTGTTAACAGTGTGTAACATTTAGGAGGATCTATTGGCACAAATTGAACATAATATCCATGGTGTTCTAAAAGTTTTCATTAGTGTATAATCACCTGAAAATAAGAATCGTTTTCGTTTCCTTAGAATAATTATATGCAGACAATGTACATTAAACTGCCATGTTTCTACAGTTCACATTGTTCGTACCCCGTGCTTGGAATGGAAGGGAGTGAGTTGCAACCTGCAACTATAGCGTTAAATGCCACTTAATCCCACACACTGGACCAATATGAATTTTGTCTACAAACCAGAGTACTAATTTACTTCAAATCATTATTTCTGTCTCACTGACAAGACAAACGGCATTTGTCCGCCACTGTGTCCAATCCACAAGTGTACAGCGTGGGTATAGATAATTGCACAAATTATGATAACAATTTTTAGACAATATATAGTTCATATTTCAAATTATTTAAAAAGTATGCTCAAGTAGCCATCGCCCCCCCCCAGTTTTTGAATATTCATGTTTGTGGAAACATGACCTCTCATTTAATTTGTCTTAAATTCAATTTAATGAAACTTGCAGACATTATCTTTAAGAAACGTGTTACTGTCTGGCCTGATGGAAGTCTTTTGCATGTCTGTGTTCAGGATATCTTCAAGCAGGCGACAGAAGACAGGCTGACCAGTGCCTATGAGCTGCCGTACTTTGAGGGTGACTTTTGGCCTAATGTGCTGGAGGAGAGCATCAAGGAGCTAGAGCAGGAGGAGGAGGAGAGAAAGAAGGAGGAGAACACTGCCTCCTCTGAGACGACAGAGGTGAGTTAGATGGATAGGTGGATTTAGCATTTTGAAATGGGTTTTATAGAAGGAATGTTCTTGTTATGCCAAAATCAACAGCCTGGTGCTTAGGCCTCTTTTTTACCCCAGATTTTTATCATCCTCAAGTCCTCATTACATAAAAGCTTTCACTAGTCACTCAGCCATTGTTTAACCACTCAGCTTAATTGCATAACCTCATCTTGCCTGTTGTGCAATTGCTGCTTCTCTAAACATTCGTGTCCATCCATTTCAAGGGAGCCCAAGCTGACAGCAAGAATGCCAAAAAGAAGAACAACAAGAAAACCAACAAAAATAAGAGCAGCGTCAGCCGAGCCAATAAGAAAAAGCCTGGGATGCCGAATGTAGCCAATGATCTGTCCCAGAAACTCTACGCAACGATGGAGAAACATAAGGAGGTGGGAAACCTTACCAACTATAACAGATTTTGTTTTCACAGTCCATTTCCAACATTTTAAGGTTAAAAAAAATATATATATATTCTTAAGCCTAACTGGTAAGTTGACATGTTTGATCAAGTAATTGCACAGAACAGGTTCTTTCTGACACTTATTGTACATCTAGGCACATAAGGACACAAGCACACAGCGGGACCCATTGGCTCTTTGCCTCCTACATGGGAATGGACTGGGAGTTGGGAATTTGTTACAGCATACTTTGGCTCTGCTTTAAATTAACTGACACATTTTCCCCTCTATTCTACTTTCAGGTGTTTTTTGTTATCCATCTCCATGCCGGGCCAGTCATTAACACCCTGCCACCCATTATGGACCCCGACCCTATGTTGACCTGTGACCTGATGGATGGCCGTGATGCCTTTTTGACTTTGGCCAGGGACAAGCACTGGGAGTTCAGCTCACTGAGGAGGTGCAAATGGAGCACAATGTGTATGTTGGTAGAGCTGCACAATCAGGGCCAGGACCGCTTTGTGTACACCTGCAACGAGTGCAAGCACCACGTTGAGACTCGCTGGCACTGCACCGTCTGCGAGGTAGTGTCACTTTACAGATTTGTTTTGAAACGTATATATGTGTGTATCAGTTTGGAATTTGAATTTTATTCAATTAAATCTTGAATTAACCTTAATGTGTTTTTTTTTTTTTTTACCTCAGGACTACGACCTATGCATTAACTGCTACAACGCTAAGGGCCATGAGCACCAGATGGTGAAGTGGGGCCTGGGTATAGACGATGACAGCAATGGTCAGGGTGGAGAGGCCTCCAAGAGCCCTCAGGAAAGCCGACGTCTCAGCATCCAGCGCTGCATCCAGTCCTTGGTCCACGCCTGCCAGTGCCGCAATGCCAACTGCTCTTTGCCTTCATGCCAGAAGATGAAGAGGGTGGTTCAACACACCAAGGGCTGCAAGCGCAAGACCAATGGTGGCTGCCCTGTGTGCAAGCAGCTCATCGCTTTATGTTGTTATCACGCCAAGCACTGTCAGGAGAACAAGTGTCCCGTTCCCTTCTGTCTCAACATCAAGCACAAACTCCGCCAGCAGCAGCTGCAGCATAGGCTCCAGCAGGCTCAAATGATGCGCCGCAGAATGGCCACCATGGCTGGTAGGGGTATGCCCATGCCGTCTCCACCTACCTCAGCTGCCCCTGACACCCCCAACTCTGTACAGCAGCCTAATACACCCCAGACCCCCCAGCCCATGCCCAACCAGCCCCAACAACAGCAGACACCAAACCCTGCCAATATTGCCCAAGGCTTCCCCAATAATGGCCGCAACAGTCAGCCCCCAACACCAGTACCGCAGGGCAAACCAGGTCCTCAGTCATCACCTCACCATCAGCAGCAGTCACCTCTGCATAACATGCCACACCAACAGCCGCCTCAGCCACCACATCAGCAGCAACAACAACAGCAACATCAACAACAACAGCAACAGCAAACAAGCAGCAGCAACAGCAACAACAGCCCATGCTTGCAGCCAGGAAGGTGGCCCAACAGATTGAGATGGCAGCCAAGGTGAGGCATCAGCAGCAGAATTATGCCATGAATGGGATGTCCATGAACAACTCACGAATGATGGGGCCCATGCAGGGCCAGATGCAGATGATGCAGGGGCCACGGGGCCCCCAGGTGATGCAGACTATGCAGCAGGGCCAGTGGGGTCCAGGGATGCAGAATCCAATGCAGAATCCCCAGGGTCATCTGCCGCAGGTCCCCCCTCAACAAGGCCCTATGCCCCCACAGCAGGCTCAGGGAAATCCCATGCCCCAGCAGCCCCAGCTCATGCAGAGGCCCATAATGCCCCAGCCACATGCTCTCAATATGCCTGGTGTCATGCCTCCCCAGGGGACCTCACAACAGGGCATGACACCGCAGCAGCATAACATGCCACGGGGGATACCGGGCAACATTGCCCCGAGTGCCCTGCAGGAATTACTGCGCACCCTCAAATCTCCCAGCTCTCCCCAGCAGCAACAGCAGGTCCTTAACATCCTTAAGTCTAACCCCCACCTCATGGCCGCCTTCATTAAACAGAGGACAGCAAAGTACCAGGCGAACCAGCCACAGCAACAGCAGCAGGGGCAGCAGCAGAACCCACAGGCCATGCTGGGGACCCAGGCAGGAATGCAGGCCATTGCTGCCATTGCAAACCAAGTGCAGAGGCCAGGGATGGCACCTCAGCAGCAGCCTCCTCAGCAGGCGGGGTCCCAGGGCATGGCAACCATGGGCCCCCAAGGCCAGATGATGAATGTTGCTCAAAACGGCAATTCCCAACTGTACCGCAGACAGCAGCTGCTCAGGATGCAGCAAATGCAGCAGCAGCAGCAGCAGCAGCAGCAGCAGCAGCAGGGAGGCATGCCTCAGGGCCATGGTCAGTTCCCGCAGCAGCAGCCAGGGCCAGCAAGCTACTCCCAACTCCGTATGCAGCAGCAAATGGTTATGCAAGGAGGTGGGGGCCCCATGGGACAGCTCCCACCCACGTCCCAAATGGGCCAACCTGGCATGGGCATGGATGGGCCCCAGAACCTTCTCCAGCAGCGCATGCTTCAGCAGCAACAACAGCAGCAGATGTTAAAGCAGCAGATGGGCTCTCCAGCGCAGGCTAACTCAATGAGTCCACAACCCCACATGCTCCAAGGCCAAGCCCAGGGAGGGGCTCACTTACCTGGCCAGACAATGGCAAACACCCTGGGCAACCAAGTACGCTCCCCAGCCCCAGTGCAATCGCCCCGTCCGCCTTCGCAGCAGCCCCCGCATTCCAGTCCCTCCCCGCGGATACAGCCCTCACCTCAGCACGGCGCCCTCCACTCCAGCTCTCCCCACCCCAGCCTTGGAGGCCCCATGTCAGGCCCCATGGAGCAAGGACACATGGGCACACCGGAGCAGAGTGCCATGCTCCCGCAACTTAACACACCAAACAGAGGGGGGTTGAGTAATGACATGGGTATGGTGGGTGACACGACGGGAGACACGCTGGAGAAATTTGTTGAAGGATTGTAGCATTTCGTGACAGAAGAAAGGCCTTGTTCTGTTTTCAGCTGAGAAATTTTTGTACTTGCTGATGTAAAAAGCTTAAAGAATTACAAACAAATGAGTCATATGAGGCCTACAGACTGTGAACTTTCCTTAAACCAAGGGACTGCTTTTTTCTTCCAACACAGAGTGATTTAAAAATTGCTGTTGAAAAGAAGACAACAAAGACACAAAGAATATATTTTTGGTTCAGACCAGTCATGCAAGAAGATGCTCTGGTCTTTGTGTTGTTTTAATTTGTTTTTCATTTGTTATGCTCTGGTATTGACTTTTTTAACAAAACTTCTCAAAACAAAAAATATTTCATTTTATTATTCAATTTTTTTTATTTTGTACCTTTGCAAATTAATATCGTATTTGTGTTGAGAAGACTGTAAAATTATTTGTCTGGGAATTTTTTGCCAGGTTTCACCTCTTGCTCAGTTTCGCTGTTCCTGGCTAATTTATTCTAATATGCCATTTTTCAAAAGGACTGCCTTTGGGAAAGCCTTAATTTCTTTCCTCTTTGCAGAGTCTATGGGAGATTAACGTATTTGTATAGATCTAGGAACTATTGCACACACCCAAACACAAAAGGCAGGTGTAAGAGAAACCTGCATTGAAGCTTGTTAATGTTCACAGTTGCTGGAATGTTCTTTTTACTGGCTTGGGCCCAGAAATTGTCTTGCAAATGTTTAAAAAATTGCTTTGTTTCCCCCTCAGTCTAAAGAAATTCTTATTAAATCCTGAACCTCTTTTGTCTGTGGTGGGAAATCGACTTGTTTGACTGCTGATTTGTGTTCAGAGAGTTTTGTGCATCATTTTCTCTCTTGCATTTAACTTGAATTGATGATGAACTGTTCTCTAATGTAAATCATGCAGCTAGACAGTACTGTAAATATGCAGAAAATAAGAATGAAATCACTGTACAAACTGGTTCAAATGGCTCATTTCGTACTTATATACCATATTGTTAAATAAACCTGTGTGCCACAGACTCTGCTTCTAATTTTCTGTTTGGAGAGAACTCTGTTGTGGTCAGCAGTAGAATTATTTTCATTATTATTCAGCAGACTTTTTCTCAATTATTCCATCACAATTTCCTAGAGCCCAAGATGATGTCTTTTTGTCCGATCCCAAGTGATTCTGTGTACTATAAGGCAACGAAGAGCTTCAGCTTCACATAGAAATAAATAAAATTGAAAAATATTCTGGAATAATAAATTAATCGGATAATCTTTTCAGCTTTAGTCCGCAATAATATGACAAACTTATTTACATAATTTTAAATAATTTGTGTTTTTCTGTCGTTGCCACAGTTTGACCTTGAAGGGCGAATTAATAACTTAAATGAATTCATGTCATGTAATAAAGGGGGCTAACAAATAAACAGATGACGCACAAACCGGTGCAGATACGATTAGTAAGCTTCTAATGCGAATAAAACGAAAACGAAAACCATTCACTATTTTTATTTTTCACACGCGATGATTCACAAATTAAACGGGACAGTTTCCGGTTCTCATCAGGCGGCGCGATGGACGCCCCTGCTGACGTCATTAGACGGCGCAGTCGACCGGTCCTTCCCGTACCACCGTCGCTCAGCGTGTGTCCCCTCCGTCGGTCGACCCGGTTTCTTCTCCTCCGTCATCATGTCCCGGTGCCTCGCGCTCGCCCGGTTCGCTCTCGGTTCACAGCTCGTGTCATGTGCACGAGGGCTGAGCAGCCGAGCCGTCTCGCGCTCCGTCACTGGAGGTGAGTTAGTCTAACCCGGGTTAGTTGACAGCCACTACATCATGTGAACTGTGTTGCGGTTAAACGCTTCATTTACCGGCCCGGTGTGTCCGGTAGCTCAACTGTTACCGACAGATACTGATGACTGTAAACTATATATATATATATTTATAATATTTATGTATTTATTTATTTATAGCACCTTTCATACAAACATGCAGCCCAAAAGTGCTTCACGTGACCATGAATAAAGGCTAAGAAATGTATACAGTAAAAACAATAAAATGCAAAATATAATAAAATAACTAAATTAAATAAATAAAAACCAAAGATTAAAACCTAAAAACTAACATTGTTACGTTGTTATTACGACGTTATTACATCAGACTGAACTATTATAGACTATGTTGACTGAACTAACCATTCATACATTATATGATTCATATATTATGATTATATCATTATTATTATCAATAATAAAGAAGAGATATTCCTGGAAGAGCGCTGTATTGCTCATTACAGAGTCCTCACTGTCTCTTCACAGTAGAGGACTTCACTCACTCGCTGTAATTATCAGACAGGTTGTAGAGTAACCCCTGCCTGGAGACCACCAGAGAGTTATTGATATTGCTGTAATAACTTTTATTTCCTTACTTGCTGTGAAGAGATTCAGTTGCTCTGTGCATCAGTGCTTTATAAAGTTCAGCTGAAGCTAATATGAGGTTTCAGGAGTCTGAGTTCAAATCAAAAGGGTACCAAAGCAGCAGTCACTGTAGCACAAAATTCCCTCTTTGCAATATTGTCCCTCCACCTCTGCTCACCTAGAAAGCCCAGGAGTTTGTGCTAAAAACCTCTTTTAAAGATAAAGATAAAGCACTCTTGCTTTGTATCTCTCAGTGGTGGAAATGACAAAAACTAGGCTGGTATTGAGTGTGTTTGCAATCTCTCTCCATGCATAGCTCTTTGTCATTGTGGTTCTGAATATACATGTCGATAATCACACGATTAACAGCTGGTCATAACGGTTTCTCCTGTACTTTGGCGTAAGTAAGAGGGAGTCATCTGATAAATGTGTCTTATTCTTTACTTTTAACTTTTTATATATATAGAATAGAGGTTCTTGGTTAGTGAAAGCCCTTTTGTAAGGCATCCAAAAAGACTAAAATGTCAATGCAACAGCTGTTTTGTGAAGCAAACCCCACCTGCTGACTCCTCCTGTCATCAGGCTTGCAGGTTGCACAGCAGCAGAGATGGAGCAGTCGGCCCAGAGTGTGGAGCTCCCAGCGGTCCTGCCTCAGCTTCAGCCAGCAGTCTTTCTACAGCACCCAGGAGGCCGAGAAAGAGCCTGAAGAGGAGCCTCTTCACACCATCATCAGTGATACAGAGTCTGTACAAGGTGCTGTAACGGCTGCAGACATAACTCTCCCTGAATGATACGGCACATAGCTCATCATTTCTTCATTTAACATCATCTGAATGTTGTTCCATGCAGGTAGCTTCTCCAAACATGAATTTCAGGCTGAGACAAAAAAGCTGCTGGACATTGTCGCCAGGTCTTTGTACTCAGAGAAGGAGGTAAGAGGGAAAGAGTCTACGACTTAGCTAGAGCCACATTTCAGTTTGTAAACTATAACCATTCTTATCCGGCCCATTCATTCGCTCCTCTACATCCCACCAGGTGTTCATCAGGGAGCTGATCTCCAACGGCAGTGACGCTCTGGAAAAACTGCGCCACAAACTGGTCTCGGCAGGTGGTGAAACGGCTCAGATGGAGATCCACCTGCAGACCGATGGTGCTAAGGGCACCTTCACCATTCAGGTATAACCATAATGTGTAAAGATGTGCAGCCTGCATGAATTGTGTTGGATAGGTATTCGTTTTGACCGTTTTGTGTGTTGTTATTTCGTCCCCATGTTGATTTTTGGTTGAACATGCAACATTATAGACCTGTTCCACTGCAGGAATGAAGTTCAATGTGTAACCATTGTCACGGGTTCTGCTTTTGTTTTCCCTGTTGAATTCCTGGGGTTAGATTTTGGCAACAAAAGCAACAACAGTACAGCATTTTGCTATAGCCTCAGTATCGACGAACCACTACTTTAAAAGATATGAATGCTTGTTGTACATACAAAAATGTCCAAGCCCTCGCCACTATTTTGACCATTAAAGGCCATTCAGAGGAAGCAGAGTTTGTAATGATGGCAGAAAGTACTGCCAGAAAACTACAGTCGTTCTCTGCTCTTGAAAACGGACAAAGAAAACCATAAACTCCATATAAATATCCGTATGAGTTCTTCCATTGAAACATATAGTCTGTCCCACTGTTCCCCTTTTAATTTGGGTATATCCAGAATGTACTGGTTTGTAAAGTACAGTAGAAATGCAAGGAAGAACCAGATTACTGCAGTGATAAAGTGCTTCTGGTGGACTCTGGTTCTTAGTCTGTTTTTGATATAGATTGCCACCTGGTGGATAAATATATTATACAACAAGCTATGTTAACTGGGGATAACTATGAGTGACTGTCTCTGTACTCTAACAGGACACAGGAGTGGGGATGAACCAAGAGGAGCTGGTTGCCAACCTGGGGACTATCGCCCGCTCCGGCTCCAAGGTGACTGATTTTCATCCACACACTCAACTAGAGTGTCAATGCAAAAAAAACAACAACTATTCTATAATAATAATGGTCTCGTCCCCACGCCACAGGCGTTTTTAGATGCTCTGCAGAACCAGGCGGAGGCCAGCAGCACCATCATTGGTCAGTTCGGGGTTGGATTCTACTCCTCCTTCATGGTGGCCGACCGCGTTGACGTCTACTCCCAGTCCGCCGAGCCCGGCGCACCCGGTTACAAGTGGTCCTCAGACGGGTGAGAGGAAGGGATGAGAGGAAAGGATGAGATGAGGATGAAAGCCAGGAATGAAAGTCTTGTACTTCAGCCACAAGAGTAGACCAAAGAGAATTGTAGTGTGATTCTGTTGTACAGCAGAACGAAGAGTGTAGACGTATATCTGTGAAATGTAGTGAGTTCATGTCCCCAGTGTGGGACGAATGAAATCTTATCGTTTATCTTATCTCATCTTAACCTCAGACCTTCTTTGTTGTTGTCCTCCTCAGCTCTGGGGTTTTTGAGATCGCTGAAGCCAGCGGCGTTCAACAGGGAACAAAGATTGTACTGCACCTCAAAGACGACTGCAAGGAGTTCTCCTCTGAGGACAGAGTTAAAGGTATGACCGGCTGACACTGCTTCAGTGACTGTAACCGCGGTGATAAAACACATTGGTGCATCACTACACGTGATTACAAGCTGTTGTATCTCTTCCAGAGGTTGTAACAAAGTACAGCAACTTTGTCAGCTTCCCCATCTTCCTGAACGGACGGAGGCTCAACACTCTGCAGGTGAGCCTCAGCGATCGAGTGCAAAGATTGAACCTGTCACTTGTATTGAAAATCTGAGTCTGTTAATTATGCAGTCTGAAGTGAGTTAGGCATCACTTTCAATTTGTACATGTGGTATTTGTTTGGTCGTTGTCGGCTTTATTTATTGTTGTTTGACCTCCCATCAGGCCTTGTGGATGATGGAGCCTAAGGAGATTAGTGACTGGCAGCACGAGGAGTTTTACCGCTACGTCGCTGATGCCTATGACAAGCCCCGCTACACGCTGCACTACCGCGCCGACGCCCCACTCAACATCCGAAGCATCTTCTACGTCCCTGAGACGGTGAGGAGCTCAGGACTGGTTGTCCTTTTGTTTGTGTGTAATGTGTTTGTGCGCACACCCAGCGTTTACACTTAAAGCTTTATTTGAAATGCTTCAGTGTATAGCTGAGCATAAATTTCACCAGCCAATATGAAGGGAATATTTCCACTCCTGAACAAATCCTAAAATAATGGTAACTTATGATAATATTTTCAGTGGTAGTGAGTTAAAAGAAGTTTGTTAAGAAGAGTTTATTTGTCAACAGAAGCCGAGCATGTTCGACGTGAGCAGGGAGATGGGCTCCAGTGTGGCTCTGTACAGCAGGAAGGTCCTGATCCAGACCAAAGCGACCGACATTCTGCCCAAGTGGCTGCGCTTCCTCCGAGGTCTGCATCCTCCCCAGTGCCTCCACCTGCTGCTCGTTTTAACATCTTCTACTCAGCTTTTACATGCATGATTCTATGAAGTGAAGGAAAAAATAGTGTTGAAATTTCCATCCTGAGCTAAATGTGTGTGTGTGTGTGTGTGTGCGCGCAGGTGTGGTGGACAGTGAGGACATACCGCTGAATCTGAGCAGAGAGTTGCTGCAGGAGAGCGCCCTCATCAGGTACAGAAACCCCCAAATCTACAGTTTATTTAGTCAAAAATGAACTTCACTCCATTAATGATCCACTGATTCATTTTCGTATCATTACCTCTGGCTTCAGGAAGCTTCGTGACGTTTTGCAGCAGAGGGTGATCCGCTTCCTGCTGGACCAGAGCAAGAAGGATCCAGAGAAGTACAACACGTTCTTTGAGCACTACGGCCTTTTCATGAGGGAGGGCATCGTCACCACCCAGGAACAAGACGTCAAGGTGACCTTGCTTGGAGGGGGAAAAAGCTACGAAAATAGAAACAACTTTTCCACAGTTTTCTTCAAAATGTCATGAACATTTGGTCTGCTTAAGAAACGTTTAAGAAACGTGGTGTCTTGATCTCCATGCTGTCTCTGTACAGGAGGATATCGCAAAGCTGTTGAGGTTTGAGTCCTCCGCTCTGCCGGCCGGCCAGCAGACCAATCTGATGGAGTACGCCTCCCGCATGAAGGCTGGCACACGCAACATCTACTACCTGTGCGCCCCCAACCGCCATCTTGCAGAGCACTCCCCCTACTTTGAGGCCATGAAACAGAAGGACATGGAGGTGAGAGGGTGGTGATGATCCGAACTAATGTGATGTGAGCTGAGAAGTTAAAACCTGCAGTCAAACGCTGATTTGCATACGTATTACCATGCTTCTCTCTCTCTGTTGTGTGTGTGTACTGTATATATTATGCTGTTTCGACTAACTAACTTGTCTAGTATTGTTTTCTTGCTATAGCTATGTTTTAATGGTTGTACTGATCCTCCTTCTGTTTATCATGATTATTTTATAAAAGTCAGAATAAAAGAGACTGCAGCGGGAGTTTGACGTGCGTCTCTCCTGTATGTGCAGGTGCTGTTCTGCTACGAGCAGTTCGATGAGCTGACCCTGCTCCACCTCCGGGAGTTTGACCAGAAGAAGATGATCTCAGCGGAGACCGACATCGTCGTGGATCACTACAAGGAGGAGAAGTACGAGGACAGCAAACCCGGTCTGCTCCTCTCTCTCGTATCCGCAGTTCATGCTGCCAACTCTCGCCGTCATGTCTGCGGTCCTGACTCTCCTTTATTGCTTTTCCTCCTCTGCAGCCACTGAGCGTCTGACACAGGAGCAGGCTGACGACCTGATGTCCTGGATGAAGAATGCCTTGGGCCCCCGAGTCACCAACATAAAGGTAAGGCTGAATTTTCTAGGATGGTTTCTTGTCGTTCATAAAGTGTGTATGCATGTATTTTTTTTCCTGACAGTTGTGTAATTCTTTTTTCATGTCAGAAGTTTTAAAGGCGTTCTCATATTTCATGTTAACTGACCTGAAAAATGTCTATTTTCTCATCTGGCCTCCAGCTGACTCCCCGGTTGGACACCCACCCGGCTATGATCACAGTGCTGGAGATGGGTGCTGCCCGCCACTTCCTCCGCACACAGCAGCTGGCTCGCACCCCTGAGGAGAGAGCTCAGATACTGCAGCCCACGCTGGAGATCAATGCAGGGTAAGAGAGAGAGATGTGTGTGTGTGTGTGTGTGTGTGTGTGTGGTGGGATGGATTTTACATGATGGTATTATTACTTTAAATAATGTGTTGTTACGTCCAGCTCTTACTATCTTGTACTTTTTTTTTTTTTTTAGCCATGATCTGATTAAGAAGTTGCACGAACTGAAGGACGCAAACTCAGACCTGGCTGGACTGCTACTGGAGCAGGTACTGTGGGTTAGATCTAAGTGTGGAAAACCTATGTTATCATATTTTAGTAAGAAGGCCTCATTGTTTTCTGATCTACTCCGGTTTTATTTTACTGGTTATAAACATCCTCTGTGTTTAGCTTTTTGTCTTGATAAATTAAAGATGTTTCCACAGCACAAATCTTAGCAGTGCAACAGAAATGCTGTTTTTGTTCACTTATTATTTCCAGTCCCTTCCAGAAATGAAATATTTTTTTACCGCGGTTAAATTACTGGCAATGAAACTCAACATTTCCTGCACAGATGTTTCACTTTAAAAGCATTTCAGTGCGCCTTGGTAGCCGAATGGTTACCTCCACAAGCCATATAACCGCAATGTCGCCGCTTCAGTTCCAGCTGGGGACCTTTTGTTGCATGTCATCCCCCTCTCTCTCCCCACATTTCCTGTCTCCATCCTTGCTGTTAAACTGTCCAAAAAAGGCAGGCAAACAATCTTCAAATAATAAATAAAGCATTTTAGCAGCTCACAAGACATAATCCCTCCAACTCCTGGTTGGCTTTTACTTTGAAAAATGTGCAGGAAGTCTTGAGTTATTTACAATAGAAGCGATTGGAATAAATTGGGGAATGAAAACAGTGTTTCTGTTAAAAAGAGAAACTCAGAGTTGCAGAGTACTGAGTCTGTTGTATCAGTGGTATTAGTGTTGTGGCAATGCACATTATTCTGAATTTACCATGTGAGGTATTAGACTACAGGTGACTGCACCTCCCCTCAGTGTTTATGAGCATTACTTGAGTGCCAGCTCCCCTGTCTTTCAGTTCTGGCAGCATGTAATCAGTTTTATCTGTGGTATTATTGTCTCTTAGAGTGATTTGCTGATTTGCTTGAAGTCTCTCAGCGTAGTTTTATACATTCATTCCTCTTTATCTATATTTTTTAGATCTATGACAACGCCATGATCACAGCAGGCCTGAATGATGATCCCCGACCGATGATTTCCCGCCTGAATGATCTGCTGACTAAAGCTCTGGAGAAGCACTGAGAGCTACTCACAGACACGAACAGTTCAGACTGACATGGTTATGATCACAGTGGCCTGTAGACTGAAGATGAAGGGCATACACAGGTGGAGAACTGCAGTTTCTAAAGACAACTACAAGGCCTTTGTTCATCTGAAGCTATAAAATCACATCCCTTTCCCCTCTGGAGTACTTCATCCCCCCTTACGGAGAGCACATAAAGGCTTAAAAAGCTCAGATGGAGTGAAGATGAACTTTTGAAAGCTTCTCAGTGTAAACTTCTATGTCTCTATGCTCTGTGTTCAGTCAATAATATTTAGAGGATATGTGCCATCAAGAGGGTGGTCATAAAAGTCATTTACACCTAACTTTCAGGCATTGGCGTGTAAAACTGGTTGGTTATAAACTGCGGAAATAAAGTGTCAGGCTCCGTGTTGACCACATCCTGAATAATGTGGATGCTAACGAGCCACAAACAATGACGAGGGAGAGCAACATTAAAAAGTTAGGCCAGAGTGATTTCTAGAACCACATTTCAAAATCCTCTTGAACTTACCATGTGAAACAGCTAAAGATATGTGGAGTTTTATTCTGAAGTGTGCTTTAGAGCTTTGAAGTGATAATAAACTTATTGCATTTCAGTTAGACTAAAAGACGTCCTCTCTGCTGAATAGAGCAGTTATTGTTTGCCACTTTATCTTTTTTTATGAGCTCTCTAAAATATATCTTTTTTTCCACATTATTTGATATTTTATGTATGTTGTATGTTACTTTTTTTTTGTGGTATATAAAAAACTGAATATCTGAAAATGTGGGTCAAATTAAAAGAACAATTTCACAATCAATGTATGGTAGATGCTGCAAATGTGACTTGTCAACTGTCAGTGGTCAAATATGGATTCTCAATAGGTTTCATTGGTATTAAAGTAACAGTGAGCCTAATGCATTTGGAATACTGTATAATAATTTATGGAGGTGTTGGTGGTTTCCTGTGTGCATTACCAGTAAGGTGAGTCAATTAAAAAGATACCAATACAAAGATTCTTGAAAATACAATTTTACTGCATTTCAAAGTAACAGGACATCTGTTGTGATGAAGACGAGAGAAACCTCAACTCTGAGGTGCCATCTTCCTCCAGTGTCCAGTCTGTCACAGACTGAATATTGAGAGATGGATGGAGGCTTGAGTTCAAGTGAAGTGATTTTATATGGTTTCCATATAAGCGTCCCAGCGCTGTGCTGTCCATCCATTTGAATCACATTGGGGCATATTGAGCCATCACACCTCCTGCCAGGCTTCCTCTCCTCTGTGAGCCATCCTGCTTCAGGTCGCACCTCCTGACCGTCCGTCAAGATCCACAAATCCCAGGAGAGTGTCAGGACAGCTTGTCTATATTGGCTAGGAACCGTTGGGCCCACCATTCATCCAGATCTATGGGCACAAAGTCTAAAAACAAAGGGAAGAATTTAAAGAGGTTAGAAGTCTGTAGCTGTGCTGTTGCCATATGAGGCTTAAAACGGTCATTACACCCTAGAAATGAGTTGGAAAGATAAAATGTAGAGAAAACTTTGCTACTCTGTTTGTTGCAATTCATGTTTAAAACATAAATGGGATCAGTTAATTATAAATTAGACTGTGTATTTAACATAGAAATGCATCAAGGCATTCCTCGTTTGAGTTGTTTTTGATTATTTTACTTTGATAGTTTTGACCGAAAGTGTTGTTATGATACTGTGTGTTTGGTGGAGTTTACTGAAGGCCATTTACAATCATGAGTACTGCCCTCCAGTGGTCACAGTGATGAACTGCAACACTATGTTAAATGTGTGGCTACTAAACTTGTTATTAATAGTAAAATGTAAAGCTCATCAGTATAACCATAACCAAGTTATTTAACAGCTGTTTTGGTAAAGGCATCTCCCGGGCAGCTATGTTCATATCAGCATCAAAAGCAGACATGCTAGCTCTTATATTTATATATAAAATTACAAATATATAATTATAAAATAATCAGAAGCAAACTAACAGACCTTATCAATAGCCACTGTGTTCTTTGGTCTCACATACACCACACATACAGATATTTCAAGTTAAACTAACAGTGTCTGGCAGGTATCAGGGAATCACAAGTACATAACACCCTCTAGTGGTCAAAACAAGGAACTGCAACACATCTGTCCAGCTAATGTCATCATGATCACATACCTCCGCTTCTGGGACACACTTTCAAAATGAAGAGAACAAAGTGAACCAAACTAAATATAAATCAAGCACAGAAAGAATAAATATCCTCAAATAACTTAATTGTCATGTTGGCTACATGTTTGATTTCAGTGCTGGCTGCAGATAATTATTATGTGCACTTGAAAAAAAATCTAAAACTAAACACAATCTAAAATTCCCTCTCGATCTTCCCACATGCATTGAATTTTATGTTGTGTTTTTAATGTGAACTGACAAATGCGTATCATCTTGGTTGATATGGCAAGTTTAAAACTTAAATTAGTATTTCTAAATGTGTCTGCGGAGTTGGCACATCCCATTGGACTATGAGGAGAGACAGGCCCGTGACCTCTGCTAGCTTCCTTCCAGCTGGAAGGATCAGAAGCAGGTCCACTAATCCTTGGTTGGCTGTCTGTCACAAACCAATGCAAGCTACTGTCCAAGTTAGTTGTAGACCCTATATTTTTACAGGAAAATCGTGTTTAGTTCAGCCTTTAAAATGAGCCAGTAAAATGCAGATGAATTCCCCTGAAGACGCGAGCACCTCGAGGAAGGACGGCGTGAGGAGGACTGTCTGTGAGAAGGAGGAGAAGCTGTACTCACTGTCCATGTGTGGGCTGGGAGTGGTTTCTTTGTAGTGGACTGCTCCCTGGGCCTCCACTGGCCTCTGACTGGGCACCTGCTCCTGCTGCACCACCTCCTGCCAGGCTGAAAACACAACAACTCAGTCAGTACTACTAATACTTCTAAGCTCCTATACTGTTTGAAGACCTGCAACGATTAAGTCGATCAACAGAAATTTAACTGCCAAGTATTTTGATAATCGAATAATCAACTATGTCATTTTTGTTGGCTCCAACTCCTGAAAAGTGATCATTTAGATTTTTCTGGTCTTTTTATTACAGTAAAATAAATATATTTGGGCTCTGCACTGCAAGAGAAACCCTCAATATGTAGGAAATTGTGACAGGAATTTCTCTGTTTTTTGTTGTTTTATAAACCATTAATCAACTAATCGATTAATCGGAAGAAGCAGATTACACAATGACTATTGAAGCAAAAATAATCTGTAACTGCAGCTTTAACTGTATGTCGATAACTTGTTTTATTACACCTCTGATTAACTATCAGTCTACGCTTCAACAACATTGTATATGTGGTGGTGCAGGCTCCTTGTATTGTCATAAAATGAAATAAAACATAATGATAATCTGGACCCAAGGACATGATATTAAGAATGTAATTAGTAGGGTAATAACAAATGTCCTTGTCTGTCCCAGTTGTGCACCCCAGCGTCACACCCACAATGTCAAACAAGTAAAGTCCACAAGGGCAACTGCTTCAAAAGGCTAGCCACTCTTGGCAAACGTTTGTATTTCATATAATGCGGCATGTGAACTGCTCACGTGTGTGTGTGTGTGTGTGTGTGTATTGATGTTATCTCTGGGAGCTGCCTCCAGGTCATGCCTTTCCTTTTCTAATGGATACGCCTGTGTATATCGTGCACTGGGGTATTTCAGAGAGTGAAAGAGAATGAATAAACCCTGAGCAGCACTCTTTCCCAACAGAGGGGGGAGGGTTGGGCCTCCTTTGTGTCCTTGTCCACTCTACGACAAGGTCACTGGAGTTGTTTATGAGCCGCTGTGGCCCGAGCTTCAACGGCAAGCAACCAACAAGACACAGAAAGGGCGACCAAGCGGGCCAAACGAAGACTGAATGAGAGAGTGAGTGTTATAAAAGAAACTTCAAAACTGGGTCAGTGGAGTTTCACCAGGATCCCTACAAAACCCTGTCAGGAGTTCTGTTGGCTTTCCCCCCAAAGCTCATTTAACGGGGCTTCAGAAAGCCTTCAGCGTGGGTCATGAGGGGCATGTTATGTGGGTGGGAGAGCGTTTTTCTCTGCTAGGTGGCTATCAGTGTCAGAGCAGCTGTGTGGGTGAGGCCTGGCAGGCGTGGTGGTGTGGGGGGGGGAGGCTGGTTAGTAGTTTTTAAATAAACTCTTCATAGTGAAACAATGTCATTCACAAAACAGCTGGGGAGGGACGGGTGCCAGGATACAGCGAGACAATGAAAAGTGTTGTTTCATCCTCTCGCATTTCCAGTTAGACCGTCTGATCGTTTTCCCCCTCACCGTCGTAGAGAAATGTGGCGTTTTCTTCGTGCGCGGCGGTGGAGCTCTCTTCCTGCTGGTTGTCTGCCGGGACAGCCGGAGCTGGGTGATGATACTTCTTGCCGTTCAGACGGTTGAAAACTATCTTGGGTGCGGGGAGGCTGGGTGGTGTAAGAAGAAGAAAATAATAAGAAACAGCATGTCACAAACAGTCTGATGTTTTAAACTCTCATTTCTCAAAGTGTGAGCGTTTGGGCCTAAAATCCAAGCGAGGCCGGTTGTTGTAGGATTGCAACAGCTGAGTGAAGGAACATGTGCCACCTCGCCTTCCCACAAGGTCACAGCTGGTTCAGAGGCGTGAAAAACAGCCCAGCAGGCAGACCAAGGCCTTTGGGGGAAGCCGCAGTGTGAAGGTGTGTTATAAATCATCCCGTCTCAAGCTGATGACGTCAGGGGTGGTGCCAGGACCCCCATTCATTACACTAACACACACTTTAACCGACACAATTCATCTAGCAAGTGAGACTGATCTCTGCAAAAATATAAAAAAGTAGATGTCTTTTTGAGATTGTTATAAGAGGACACACATGAAAAAGCACCGCACACACACAGACAGACACACACAGACAGACACACACACAAAGGGGGGCACTGTGGGTGGTTGTTCATTACAAGGGTGTCTCTCCAAACGTTGCACACTTACCCAGGCATACTCCAGGAGGTTTGTTTGTGCTTGAAGTCGTTTATTTTGTTGTCAAGCTGCTGAGTGGGGCCTAAGAATAAGAGAGAGAGAAAAAAATCACAAGATCAACCAGAACATCTGGTTGGATCTGTGTGCGTGTGTGTGTTGGAGTGTGTAACCTCACCTGTCCGTCGCTGGGTGACCAGTTTGCTGGGACCTCTTGTAATTGTGTACATCATGCAAAAAAAAAAAAAAAAGTCCCCTGTAAACTTGTGAGTTTGGCACTTTTTGAGGGTTCAGTCCAGACCGGTCCTGGTGGAGCGGGCCTACTCGGGAAAGGCACTTCAAATTAAGCACGTTCCTCGGGGATTTTGGCGACGTATAAAAAAATGCGATGTGAAGGAAAAGTCAGTCGCGTCCTCAGATGATCGGGCTGGATTTCACTCACAGGGAGCCCGTTTGAAGCCAGCGCAGATCCTCGGAGCTGACATGAGAGCAGGCAGGCTGTTTGGTAACCTCTCAGAGAGCACAACCATGCGCCTCGCTCCTCTCCGCGTAAAACCAGCAGCCGGGGCGCATCTCCCCACCACCCCCAAACCCCCCCCTCTCCTCTTGTCACCTGCCCTTTCCGTACCCCCACCCCGAGTCCACACACTTAACGTCAGTCACTTCGGTGTTGAGGTGTCCTGCGCTGCCACAATGTCACATAACCTGTAAAAGTGGCTGCCATTCATAAGACACTGCACGCACAACCGCCAAAGCGCACCACTTCTCGACGTCCCGACACGCCTCCCTCGGCGCTTTAAAGAGACAGTGTCCCGGNNAGTGTCCCGGGACTGGATCAGATCTGTGACGCAGGAGGACTTCAAGGGAAGCGGGGGGGTCACTGGAGCCCGAGACCGCCGGAATGTGAAGAAATTGCGTAATTACACTGTTATTTTATTCCCCCCGAAATTATAATTCCCTTCTAAAACTATAAGCAAGGTCAATTATTTTAGAAATGGTCAGTGAAGTTATGATCTGTTTGACTGTTTCTGTTTAATGCAACCAGAAAATATACAAATAAAAACTGTCACATGAGTTCAACTTGTAGAATGAGAATCTTTTTAATGGGGGTCTTTTGTCTGCTTCTCCATGTGGCCCCTATCTGCCCAACGTCTCTGTTTACAGCACACACACAGGTGAGGTCAGGTGTACAGACACAGACA